CAGAACTGGCATCTTTTGGGCACTAGCCCAAAATCCGGTAACTGCTTTAAATCTGAGCTGATCCTAAAAACTACTACATGTCTTCAAGTGACTCCAGGAGTGTCATCCATGAGGCACACAAATTTTTCTTAAAAGAAAAAAAAAACAACAAACCAAAAAACAATGCTTTCACAGAATCACAGAATCCTAAGGGTTGGAAGGGACCTCAAAAGATCATCTAGTCCAACCCTCCTGCAAGAGCAGGGTAACCTAGAGTACATCACACAGGAACTTGTCCAGGCGGGTCTTGAATACCTCCAACGTAGGAGACTCCACAACCCCCCTGGGCAACCTGTTCCAGTGCTCTGTCACTCTCACAGTAAAGAAATTTTTCCTGATGTTCACATGGAACCTCCCATGCTCCAGTTTACACCCATTGCCCCTTGTCCTATCACTGGACATCACTGAAAAAAACCTAGCTCCATCATCCTGACACTCACCCTTTACATATTTGTAAACATTGATGAGGTCACCCCTCAGTCTCCTCTTCTCCAAGCTAAAGAGTCCCAGCTCCCTCAGCCTCTCCTCATAAGAGAGATGTTCCATTCCCTTAACCATATCTGTGGCTCTGCGCTGGACTCTTTCAAGCAACTCCCTGTTTTTCTTGAACTGAGGGGCCCAGAACTGGACACAATATTCCAGATGCGGCCTCACCAAGGCAGAGTAGAGGGGGAGGAGAACCTCTCTTGACCTACTAACCACACCCTTTCTAATGCACCCTAGGATGCCATTGGCCTTCTTGGCCACAAAGGCACATTGCTGGCTCATGGTCGTCCTCCTATCCACCAGGACTCCCAGGTCCCTTTCCTCTTCACTACTGTCCAGCAGGTCAGCCCCCAACCTGTACTGGTACATGGGGTTGTTCTTCCCCAGATGCAAGACTCTACACTTGCCCTTGTTAAATTTCACCAAGTTCCTCTCCGCCCAACTCTCCAGCCTGTCCAGGTCTCGCTGAATGGCAACACAGCCCTCTGGTGTGTCAGCCACTCCTCCCAGTTTACTATCATCAGCAAACTTGCTGAAGGTACATTCCGTTCCCTCATCCAGGTCACTGATGAAAATATTAAACAGCACCGACCCCTGAGGGACTCCACTAGTCACAGACCTCCAGCTAGATTCTGCCCCATTGCTTTCTTAGACTGTTTCAAGTCAAGCAGACTCCTTAAGGAGGAGACGCTCACCAAGATGTTAAACCAACACTAAAACAAAACTCACTGAATTCTTTTCTTCCAAAAACTGGAAATGCACCTGAAGCATTTAAAGGGCTTTTGTAAACCAGAACCAAAACATAACTCTTCAGTACAATAAACCATCTGAAAACCAACACCCACAGCAAAAAGCATGGCCAGCATGGAAGCTGCTCTGCAGACAGCAAGCAGCAGCGGTGACAGACTTCCCATCCCCACCATTTGCAACAAGCCCTCACTTCTGCACCACAGGACACTCTGCAGACCACACAGTCAAACTTCCCACAGGTATTCAACGCAGACTAAGGTGTTCTGGTTAAGGCTAAACATCCAAGTTCATGCTCCTTCCCAGCAAAGAACTGAATGTTAATCAATGGCCAAGTCAGATCAGCCTGCACTTTCCCCTAGCAAGGACAAAGGCAAATCCCACTTCTGAGACCCACTCCTAGAGGAGCATGAGAAGATGGACATGCAGGGGGTTTGCAGCAAGCTGCAGTTCCCATGTCACAGCACTGGCACAGGCAGGTTCAGCCAGCAACACATCTCACTGCCCCATCTTTAACAGGATGAAAACAAACAGTGGTGCAGCACAAACAGCATCCCAGATCCACCAGGAATGCTGAAGACCAGAGCTAGAGGTTATCCCAACTGAAAGCCAACATGGCAAAGGATTGCAGTACCACACACCTTGAAGAGACTGCTTTCCAACAGCACTTTCACCTTCCTAATCAGTCAGCCATTACTGGGCTGAAACAGGTAAGTTCAGTCATAAGTTGCTCTTTTCTCATTTCCAGTTTTAACCATTATTCAGGCTCAGACTCATGGTAACACACTCACTGCTCTTTACAGACAACTGATACAAGTCCTTAACTACTACAACCCACTACAGGACAAGGTGCTTGTTCAGTGCTCTCCCACAGGCAGTGATTTGCAAACACTATGGTGTTTATGGTGCCTATGGGTGCAGTACTTCAGTTGATCAAAGAAAAGGCCAGTCTTTTTGCTCCAAGCTAGTATACCTTGGAATCATGAAACATTTATTTGCTAAAAGGATAATCACCGTGGCAACTTGCTTGCAGGAAAATAACAGCCAACAACTCCAGAACAAAGACAGATCCCTGAGGAATTCTTTAAGGGAGACCAACCAGCTCACACAAATCTGAAAAATACTCAAATTTGCCAAATTTATTTCTGAAGAAGCTGTAATTAGGCATCTGCAAACTTAGCACAGTCCATCACACAAGTTGAAACAATGGCACTACCACCCATCTCAACATCTGGGTGCCCTTTATGTTCTCTGACACTCAAGATACCCTATAAGGCAGGTTAGGGCAATGGTCCCCAATGTACACAATTTCGCCTTACAGACCATTTCCTTAAATCAAAAGAAAACTTCACCTTATACTCCAATTCTTTGCCACTCCACACATTAGTTTTGACTTTTGGTCATGTGAATTTGAATCATGAAAATGCAGTTACTGCAAGCAACACTTCAATCATGCTTTTCATGAAGTGGAATGTTTACAAAGGTAACTCAACCTCATCTAACAGATAAGGAAATAAAGAGTAATACTTTGCTTAGGGACACACAGTCAAGGACACATGGAACCTGCATTCTTACAGGTTTTCAGAGCTACTGAAGGAGTTGCTGAATTTTCACAGGGCAGCAGTTTTTTGTGAAAATGCACACATGGAAACTTTGCTGCACTAAAATCCTAACAGAGAAATCCCCTAAACTACCACCCCTTGGTTCTCACTCTGCTTGTAGGGAAAGGACAGGAGGAGTAACCACTACACAGGTAAGGATCCCATTCTCAACCACAGCACCTCACACAAACACAGTTTACACTAGCACTGCAGATACAGTCCATTTTGCTTTCCTGCTGTAGGAACATTATTGGCAGGCTACTAAGCTAGCCAGGTAGGTAGGTTAGACCTGTGTCCCTGCAGTATCATCTCAGCCTGAGTCACCGGAGCTCACAAATAAAAGCTTTTAAGAGAAGTATGACTGCTAAACACACTTTGGAGCAGTGGAGCACACTGAGGGTACAGTCAGGAGCTATTTTCAGACATCATCATTCTATGATTCTATTAGTTTTCCTTTCAAAAAAAAAAACCACCCCCCCCAAAAAAAAAACACAAAAAAACCCAAAACAAACAAACAAAAACTAAAAAAAAAAAAACAAAAAACAAGCAAAGACTCAGACTCATGTTTGGCTCCTTCCCACTATAACCCACAGCTAACTGTAAAACTGCCACTGCCCTAGAGTGCCAGCATGAACGCCTGTATCACAGGAAAGATAGAATCATAGAATAGTTAGGGTTGGAAAGGATCTTAAGATCATCCAGTTCCAACCCCCCCTGCCATGGGCAGGGACACCTCACACTAAACCATCTCACCCAAGGCTTTGTCCAACCTGGCCTTGAACACTGCCAGGGATGAAGCATTCACAACCTCCCTGGGCAACCCATTCCTGTGCCTCACCACCCTAACAGGAAAGAATTTCCTCCTTATACCCAATCTAAACTTCCCCTGTTTAAGTTTTAACCCGTTACCCCTCGTCCTATCACTACAGACCCTAATGAAGAGCCCCTCCCCAGCATCCCTATAGCCCCCCTTCAGATACTGGAAGGCTGCTATGAGGTCTCCACGCAGCCTTCTCTTCTCCAGGATGAACAGCCCCAACTTTCTCAGCCTGTCTTCATACAGGAGGTGCTCCAGTCCCCTGATCATCCTCGTGGCCTCCTCTGGACTTGTTCCAACAGTTCCATGTCCTTTTTATGTTGAGGACACCAGAACTGCACACAATACTCCAGGTGAGGTCCCACGAGAGCAGAGTAGAGGGGCAGGATCACCTCCTTTGACCTGCTGGTCACACTCCTTTTGATGCAGCCCAGGATACGGTTGGCTTCCTGGGCTGCGAGCGCACACTACATGTCCAAGTAGTTTACAAAAGGAGAGTCAACAGATGTTATCAGTGGACACTGGCCTCTTCTAAGTCCACACAGAAGAAGTTAGCAGACTTCCTCATTCCAGGTTTAGAATTCAATACAAAAGTACAGCTAGAAGCCTTCTGGTAAAATACAGCTGTGCAAGCTGGTGAATTTCTGTGCTGCTTAAATAGCTACAGATCTATCTTCAGCTACCTGGGTCGGACAAGGCTGCAGAGTCACAAAGCAAAGCACATCCAGCTCTGCAGAACCATACATTATAGGCAGACTGCCCTGTAAGACTGACACTTTCTAGAGCAAAAGGACCACTGTGCTATGATCTATGCACAGGAAGGCAAGCAAGACCTACTTCTTTTCCAGCCTTCACTGAAGATGCTTTCCAGTTCAAGGCAGTTTTCTCCTAACTTCATCTGAATGTTTTAGCTAACCAAATAGAGAAACCACCATTACCCCCCAGGTACATTTCAGTGACTACTTAAAGTGTCAAATGCTTTGAAGAAGAAAATCTCTACAGACATTTGGTAGCATTTAAGATCTGACTGGGTTAGCAGTGAAGGCTCAGGCCATACAGCAGTAGCCCCTCTGAAAGGAATCTTCTGAATATTCCCACAGCAGGTCCAAACAAGGTCACCCTCCGTACAATGCCGGCTGGATATTCTGGTGCTCACACAGTCCTACTGAACATATTATATCCCATTGCTTAAACTATGAATAATGGGGCAGATCAATCTGAATCTAGAAAACGTACAGCTAGAGTTCTCATCACCTGCACCAGACAGCCCCCTCCTCCCGTTTGTTATAAGGGATAGTAGGCACACCTACCTTGAAATCGCTCAGGCTAGCTTGTCTCTTTGCATAGATATGCTCACAGTATTAATCCAAATGTCTTCAACAGAGGTCTGATTTTCAAAATACTTCGAAGTATAAATTCCACAGGAAACAGTAAAGTCAGGGGAGGGACAGAGACACAAATCAACTTCTACATTCGCAGACGCCTGCAGTCAGTAGCATAGGTCACTTCCAGAGTTAATCTTGGCAACAAAGTTTCTTTGTAGAGGAGAAAGACCTGCCAAAAGTAACAATGATAGTAAAATACCCCATTAACATCAATAAGCAACAAACCAGCACCACAGATTCAGACTCTCCTTCAGAGAAAATAATTTACTTTTATTTGAAATACTGAGTTTCTGTTAGCTTTGACATAGTTAAAATCAGCAGCAGCCTCTAAAGCTACCTCATATTCTGAGTACTTTAATCCAACAAATTATCTCAAGGAGGAAAAGCCTCCAAGAATTCAGATAATGTTTGATCATAGCAGAGCATATAACACTATGCCACACCACAGAGTGCCTTGTTTCAGACAAAATTTCCCAGCTTATTAGATGCCTTGGTGTACTCTGCATATCTTCACACAGAAATGCTTGTGTGAGCAGTGTCACACCAAAAAAATTAAGCTGCTGTCCAAAACGAGGGACACAGAGAGCAATAAAAGTCCAGCACAGCACAAATAAAAGGTACATGCAAGAAGACTTCCTGTGCAACATAAATGCTCAGGAGTATTAGTGTGCTTCTGAATTTATCCACTTTGGATTTAAATAATAAAACAATAAAACATAAACCTCTTGGGACTCTTCTATGTCTGCATTTCACATAGTATGGCAGATCAAGGTTCCAAATCAAAGCTTTTGAACGCTATGGTGATACAACCTTCTGTACTTCTGGTACAACAGTAGGATTCTTCTTTATAAATAAAAAAGGTCAGTTAGTTTTGCATCATCCTAAAATGCTCTGGAAGTACAAATGGGTTCCATTTTGCAAAAAAGACATTTAACTTCATACAATCACTTGTTTCCTCCTCTTCTCCTCTTCCCTCTGTGCCCACCTTAACACGCTCACCCATTTTTAGACTGGTGTAATTCGAGCTCACTCACCCATCGGCCCAATAATTAGTACCGACAGTAGCTCCGAAAAGGCAGCGAGAGCGGGCAAGGAGCGGTGAGGCACACACCGAGCCTCGCCTGGCTCAGCAGGCAGCGAGGTCAGATGCCGCCGACTCCGCCAGCACAAAGGACCCGCGCACCGGCAGCGCCGGTCCATAGGCTTCCGCCCACCGGTGCCGGGCTCCGCTCCTCCCGGGAGGGGCCGGCGGCCGCGGGGGCTTCGTACCTTCCGCTGGGTACGGCAGCGCCTCCGCACAGTCGGGGCCGGAGCCAGCCCCGGCACCGCCGCCAAGGCCGCGCTCCGCTCGCGCCCCCGGCCCCGGCCCGCCGGCCGCACTAGCCCCGGCAACGAGGCCCGCGAGCGCCGCCGGGACGGAACGGTGAGCGGGGCGGGCGGTCCCGAGGCGCACTAACCGAGTGTGGGCCTCGGCCCACTCCCGGGGACGGCTTGCGGCGTCCGCGCTGTGCTGCGGGACGGCGGCGTCACCTGTGTGGCTTTTGGCAGCAGCGGGGAGGGCGGCTCCGAGGGGAGCCAGCCTGGGCCGCAGCTCCGCCGGACAAGGTTCGCTTCTCGGCAGCCGGGTACAGGCCGCCCCGGTAACTGCCACGGTGCGGGCAGACCGTGAGCGCCTTCGGGCACCCAGCCCTGGGGAACGGAGCGCCCCCCGCCGCTCCCAGCACCCTGTGCGCCCTCCCGCAGCTCGCACCGGGCCCCGGTGCGGGGAGAGGCCTCGGGCGCAGCCGCCGGCCGTGCTGAGCGCGCTGTGCGCTGACAGCCCTGCGAGGTAACGGTAGCTGCCCAGACACCTCGGTGCTGGCCTTCGCTGTGCCCTCAGCCCCCCCGTGGTAGATAGCTCCCGTTTGAGTCTGTGCTGGGTGGCAATCACGGGTTCTCCATGTACTCTAAGAAGGATTAGTAGGCGGTACTGGTCTCCAATCTGGTTTGTGAAGTCTAATTTACCCTACGGAATAGTGCTTAGTGTTGTGATGAGCATACAGACACTTCTGGAATAGTCGAACTATGGTACACGTTTCAGAAGGGCTCCTTGATCAGCAGCTTCTGGTTTTCCACCATTTTCACCTAACAGTGAGTTAGACGAGGTGCTCTGAGAAGTCACCAAAGACCAGGATATTAAGACTCTGCCTCAGTGGATATGACCATCTCTCCTCATCTGCACAAGTGTCATCGAGGGTGACTCTGCTTGTGTAGTTTTAGAAGGCTGCACCCTTTCTTGAAGCTGATTCAATGAAAAATTTGCCTTGATCTGTATTTGTCTGCAGCAATTAATGTATTTAGCCACAAGGAAGTTGGAATTTATACAACTTGACTTTTATTTCAAATCAGTGCTCATTAGTACTTAAAGTTTTTCACATGAAGTTCAAGAATTTATGAACACCAGCCAGTATTTTTCGCACTCAAATCCTCTCCTTGCCCCTTCGCCCCCAGCTGTCTTGTCTTTCCCCTGTAGCTCTCCCAGGTCACACTAGTATGCCTGAAGCTAAAGCTGAGCCTGGCTGTGACGTGCTGGGGTGTACATGGAAGGCAAGAGCTGGATGCTGAATTCAAGGCACTGCCACTTGAGGTTACAGTCACAGGGTGTGCACAGGACGTGGATCCTGACATGCCAAGAAGACCTGAAGGCAGGAAATAAAATGTGGTGAACCTTTGCGACTAAAGCGAATACCCACCCCTGGCATAGTCGGCTCCACTGAGGAGTGTGATGTTGTATCCCTCCTCACCGCCTTCTTCTCTGATGCATCAGTAGTCAAACAAAGTCTTACACTTTCCAGAAACAGTTGGTCACTGTGGACTCACTGGGCGTTGAGTGATTTGCAGCATCTAGGAAATGAGGGCAGTTTATTTAAAGCCGATGGGAACTTTGTTCCTTCCCTTATCTCCTAAAAAAAAACCCAACAAACATATTGCAGAACTAGTAAGAGATCTTATAATTTCTGTTTAAACCATTTTTTCACTTTTCCTCCCTTTCAAAGCTGAATTACCAAGCATTGAGATCTTGTGTCAGCACAGGAGAACAGAAAGCGAGACTGACCAAAAGCAGTAAGCGAACCCGAGTGGCTGACTTGCCCTGGCTAACTTCAAAGCAGGTACAGCATAACAATCAGCATACGTGGTGGCATTTCTATTTAAGATGTTTATTCATGCTATTTTTCTTATTTATTAATTACAAATATCCAAGTAAGTAACAAATTGTTAGTGTTAGATCTCCAGCTGACATTAAATTTGGCTTTAAACATGTAAGTTTAGTAACTACGACATGATTAGGGTTAGATTCAATTATTAGATTCAAACTATTCAACTATTAGATTCAAAAGTTCACAGGAAATCTGTGGTTGTAGTCAACATACAGAAGTGATGAGCTGGGTAGCCAAGGAAGTAACTAGAATACAATCATCTCTCGCTGCAGGTACTGGCTATTGAAGTTTTGGCTTATTAATTATCTTCTGCCTGTATATACTTTCTCATAGGACTTTATGCAATATATGTCTACGTATTTGATCTTGTACTATGCAGGTGATCAATGTGCCAACTTAAAATCAGTTCACTCCTAGCACAGGAGAAAACCATTTGGGCCTCACTGGTCTCTGTCCAACGCAGAGGCTTGCGCCAGCACAGAGTGAATGCAAAATAAGCACAGTGGTTATTTTTCTGGGCTGGTGGCATTCAGCACAGCTCTTAATGCTCATTTGCACAGGGCAGTCCTGGGACAGGCTGTGGCTCTAAATACAATGCAGGGAGATGAAAGCTGGGCTAAAACACCAGCACAAATAGCTTGCATGGGGCTGAAACTGGGGAGGGTTTTGTGTGCTTCTGTCAATTGATCTTGATTCCTGTGGGGAGAAAACCCATCATGTGGACTGTTTACATTTATCTTTGTGTGCCTTCCTCAAAACATCACTTACACTGCCCTGGTCAGATCCTATGATGCCACCCTTGGTTTGTCAGGCAGGCCCTTCAGTATCATGAGAGTCCCCAGTCTTGTAGATATGAACCACTGTGCCTCCCTACATTTGGGGGTGGTTTTGGTCCTGTTCTTGTATAAATTTTGCTCTTTCAGTAGGGAGTTGCTGGGAAGAAACCAAGTATCTTATTGAAGACAGACATGAAATAACCTGGTGAATTGAATTGAATGTAATGGACTGATAAATTACATTCAGATTAAAGCTTAGTTCTTTAATCTCCAGTCACTATAGAAACTAACCCTGCCTGACTGCTGGGATACTATTTCAGAAGCACCAGCAGGCATCAGCTATACTTCCAGAAATGGTGAATAAAGGACATGAGCTACCCTGGGAGTTTGTTACAGACAAAAATACAAGCTCAGGAGGGCATTTCTGGTTAGAATGGTGAAAAATCTTTGCTGATCTGACTGGAAAAAATATGTCTTTTAATTCAGCACCAGCTCTCAGAGAAGCTTTACAGCAATAACCACAAGTGTTCTGTGACTCCTGAAATCTGATTGCCTTTACATTCCTTCTTGCAGAGCATCAGAAGACATGGCTACCTTACCGATGTTTCCTAGAGTCCGTGAGACATAGTTCAGTTTCGCAGTGCTCTTGCAATGAGAGAATTACTACTTTGACGTGTACCAGCAGATGTCTGGGGATAGGGTTCAGAATGATACTGGGCAAAAATAAGAGAAAAAGAATTTTTAATGGATTACAAACAATTTCCAATGTTTTGCAAGAGGTTTGGATGCCAGGCAGTTCAAGCAGGGTGAGTATGGCCTGTTTGGCCACCACTTGCAGTGAGCCTTCTGGATTAAGTGTTAGACAAGGGAATTTCCAAGGTGTTTAACTCCCAGGGTTGTAGTGACCGACCCCACCATCTCACCACTTAGACCACATCCCTTGTAGCATGGGTGAGTATGCCCTGTTTAGTCTGCTACCATCTGTCTTTGCAGGTTCCAGTGGCTCACAGACAAGGTGGACAAGGGCCCAGAGCAGATCCTGATGCCACACACCCCATGGGTGATGGGAGCTGTGAGACAGCTGCCCTTCAACTGCCTAAGCCTTGTGTGGGTGCAACCAAGCTCCCAGCATCTTCATTCTGGCAGTGTGTGCTCGCATGCCACCTGCAGCCCTCCTCTTCCCAGAGTCACCAGCTAGGAGGACTGGATGTGTCAGCGACAGCACTCCCGCGGGTGCTCTGCAGCACGAGAGCCGAGGCACTGAAGGGCTGCCCCTGCTCACACAGGGTGGCTGCAGGGAATGGTGTGTAGGGAAAACTCTTTTTTTTTCTCTAGAAACTGTAAAAGAAGCTTTTTCCTTTGAGGGTAGTGAGACCTCTTTTCTGCATGCAGTGAGTGTAGTTTCATGCCTAATACTGCATGCATAAAGAATAATTCCACTTATTCATGCTTGCAATTTTGCAAGCACAAAATTGGGCATGTACATTTGAAATATGCAGTGAGGTAATGCATGCTGAAAGACAGGAGAATAAATTTAAAGCTGTTTAAGTTAAATAAATTACTGCTCTCTGACAAATTCCAGCCACACCAGCAGTTGCCCAAGAGCAGGAAGAAACTGTGTCCATTCTTTGAAAATAAGAAATAAAGCAGAACATTGAGCCTTGACTGCAAATACAGTAGCAGCAGTCATAACAACACTGCTTGTGCTGTCATGGCAGGAATAAAAAATGCTGAGCTGCAAAGCTTACCATTAAAAAAAGGGGAAGGGGAAGAAAGCGTTAGCTGGCAGGGCTTAACTGAAAACAGGCCATCAACTTGGAAGTGTAGAAAGCAGGACAGGGGTCAGGAGTTTGCTAAGAGGATTTTTACAAACACACATGTGATGTCAGTGCTCTCATGCAAAATGACACCTGTTAATCAGGTAAATCTGGAAAGACGGGATAATGTAGGAGAGAAAATTCTCTGAGACTGTTCCACTGGAAGCTATGAGACAGCAAGACCCAAACACCAATTCAGACAGAGACCGAGTCCTCTCAGATCAGGGTTTGGGGCAGGACTGAGCCCTAGGAAAGACTGCCAGGAAGTCAGGACTCTTAAGTCATCTGTGGACTGAACCCACAGAATGAACTTGTCTGACATGTCAGGTACCAGATGCTATGGGCAAACTAGGTTAAAACTAACTGGGATTGAATTTTGCAGCTAGTATCTATACCTCTAATTCATACCTGTGCAACTCAGGTTTCAGGGAAGGGAGTTGTGTTGTTTTCAAGAATGCAATGTCAGACACACTGCAACAAAGATCCTGTTAGTCCCTGTGTTTATCTGGATTCTTCATGACTTACAATGTCAAATACTATTAGGGGTTCTGGACGGCTCTGTTTGGGGGTTTACAGTATAAGAACAGCCTTCAGGAACTTGGTTTACAGAATTTTCTAACTAAAAGGCTTGATATGGCACAATGGGTTAAGTAACCAAAACTACTACATCACTTTGAAAATGCAGGAGTAATGCAAGTAATGCAATTGGCTTGTTTCACCAACGAGTTAAAGCCACGCTCCAAGTATAACTGCTGGGTTTCCAGCTGAGCTGAGCATTGCTTCCCATACCCATTAGGGCACAGAAGTCATCCACAAACCATGGAGTGTGATGTGCCCAGCTACAAAGCAAAGAGGAGTGCTGCAAACTGTGGAGTGTTCACTGTAGAGCAATGAGACTCTTTCACTGTGTTGTAAGCAAACAGATTTCCCATAAACTCTGCCAGCAAGTGGCTTCCTTAGGCCCTGAAGTCAGCACCGACCTTCAACTGCAGAAAACATTTTCTCTTCTTCACTTTTGTTCCTCGTGGCTCACAAGTAGAGAAAAGCCTTCCAAGGAGCAGGAAAAAACACACCTTTCATTGGCAAACATGCTCTTGGCTCCCACCTCTATGTCAAAGGAGGAGGAAAGGACAGTGATGCCAAGGTTGGCTCTGAATGGTTGCAATGGCTTGAAATGTCCCTAAAAGGTACAATCCATCCAGTTTCAGTGTATCAGAAACACTTGATCCAACCTGGGGCATATCAGAGCAATAGCATATTGCTATTGGGTATTGAAGGGTTTGTAATTTGATTTTCTGCCTTCTGTGACTAAATTGCTGCATCTTTGCTCTTGTGGTCCAGAAATCCTAGGGAGCCTTCAATGAAATTACAGCTTGTTTTAACTTGAAGGGTGCACTTTACTGCCTGGATATTGGTGTAATGCAATAATATGATGAAAAATACTGTACTTTCATTTGCAGAGTGCTCAGTCTCTTGTAAGTGCTGCAGTTCAGCCAAAGAAGCTAATAAAAATAATCAAGGCAAACAGTAACAAAATTGTAGCATTTCTATGTGGCATTTCCAAGCAAGTCAGGCTCATGTCATTGCTCTTGAGGTAGACAAATATGATCAACCCCCTTTGCCAATGGAGATTCTGTATTAACACACACGGTGTTGAGCTGAAGGAAAGTCTGAGCCTCTCACAAACACCGATGCCTCTGGCTTGTGGCTATGCCAGGTACCATCCATGTGCCGTCCTCTAAAACAGCAGAGAGGATAGCAACCAACCAGCTGAGTACCTGAGAAAACTTAAAGAATTTTCCAAGGAAGTTATTCTGTGTCCTTTCCATTAGAGGATGTTGACGGAGCAATGCGTTAGAGGGCTGCTCTCTGCTTGTGTGTTTCTCTGGCTTCAACAGAATTACAGCAACAAACCAATCAATGGATTATTAGGCTCAAGTCGCTCTTGGCCCCACATCTCACCCCTCTGGACGGGCAGCCTGAGCCTCTGCCATACCAACCATTCCGCACAGTTCTGTGTCACCTGCAAACTTGCTGTTCGCCTCCCTGAGCAGCCGGACCCCGCTGACCAGCCGGGTTTCCGCCTACAACACGCAGCAAAACTCATGCGTTCCTCCCTGTGTGCCAGGATGACCTCATCTTCCCATCCAGTCAAGTCCAGACTCGGCAAAATCAGCGCAGAGTACTTAGGAGGACACAGCGCTCCCCACGCTGTTACCTGAGCTGCATTACGCCCGCCTAGGTAGGGCAGTGCCTCCCGGATTTCCAGTGCGGGGACTCGGAGGCACAGAGCACGGGTCCAGTTCAGCGCAACGCTCAGCACCCGCTGCCAGCGCGGACCCCGTCATGGCCCCGCAGCTCGTCCGACGGGCGGCCTTCGGGGGGCTGCAATGAAAATCCCCCCTTGGTGGGGCGGAGCTGCTGCCGCAAGGGGAGTGCGAACACCGCAGCTGACCGCCTGCCGTCTCCTTTTCTTACCCTCCAGTGCCACCTCCTGCCGCCGTCCCATCGCTGCAGCCGGGCTGACAGGCCCAGCCCCACGCTCGCTGCTCCAGGGCCGAAAGCTGCCCAGTGCCAGCTCCCCGCGGCCCGCTGGGCCCGCAGGCCTCTTGCCCGCTGCCGTGTGCAGGAGACTGCGAGAGCCCACCGCCGGGACCGCGCCATCCCCACGCCGCAGCCGCGGGCCGAGGAGCCCCCCGTGCCGGTGCTGAGGCCGCAGCACCAGCGAGCGTGTGCCCGGGGAAAGCCAAGCCCTGGAGACAACGGGCAGATGCTGTGCTGTGGCCTGCCCACTGCTGGCGTTCAGATAGAACAAATTCACAGAACCACAGAGTGGTTTGTGTTGCAGAGACCTTAATGCTATGGGGCCACTACAAAGTTGGACTGAACCCATGTGAACATAGACACACAGAATCCCAGACTGGTTTGTGCTGGAAAAGACCTTAAAGCTCCCCCAGCTCCAACCCCTGCCACAGGCAGGGACATCTTCCACTAGAGCAGCTTGCTCCAAGCCCCTGTGTCCAACCTGGCCTTGAACACTGCCAGGGATGGGGCAGCCACAGCTTCTCTGGGCACCCTGTGCCAGCGCCTCAGCACCCTCCCAGGGAAGAGCTTCTGCCTAAGAGCTCATCTCAGTCTCCCCTCTGGCAGGTTAAAACCATTCCCTCCCTTGTCCTGTCCTTACATCCCTTGTCCAAGGCCCCTCTCCAGGTTTCTTGCAGCCCCTTCAGGCACTGGAGCTGCTCTAAGGTCTCAAGCCCTAGGGACACTCCGGTATTTCATCTCAGCGGCTCACGCTGGTAACGGCCGGTGACGCCGGTGCAGCGGGTCGGTGAGTCCC